AGTCCTGGCTGTCCTGGAACTCACTTTGTAGACCAGGCTGGCATCAAACTCACTGAGATCTGCTTGCCTCTGCCTCCTGAGTGCTAGGATTAAAGGTATGCGCCACCAGTGCTGATACTGGCTGCTCTTACCACATTAGGATCATAGAAGTCATTGTGTCAATTCTAGTTTTCTTAAGTGGGTACATTAGACAAAGCTGAATGCTTTCATTTTATTTTTAGCCAATGGCTGAAACCCCATGGCATTTTGATAATTAGCCAATAAGATGGTTAAATATTTTGTTCACTAATTGAACAAATGAATGAAATGTCAGAGATGTTTGTCCATTTCTAAAGTTTAAAGTAAACTTGGTTTCATGTAGAATTTTCTGTTTACTGTACTTTTATGTAAATACCATATTTTTGTCTGTGTCTAAACATCAAACACCATATTGGTGAAAGTAGCCTTCAAATAAGGTTTTTATTTCTCTGGCTTTGGTTTTTAAATCTCTCTCCTTACTCAGATTATTCACCTCCTTAGATTGTTCACTGTCTATGTGATAGCTTTCTCTATATGTCACAGTTAATCCTTGGTGTTTGTTTGTGTCTGCAGGATAGACTTTTCTCCCTCTAGGATATGAAGAGCTTCCCCAATTTTTCATCAGGACTTGCGATAGAAATATGTATTTTAAGGGAAATATATATATTTGTCCATATTATTTATATTTTAACCAAAGGCTACCTAACACTGAGAATTTACTGTGCTCAATGACATGCAATAGTCATGGTCACATATAGAGCACGAAGGTTACTTTCATCTCTAGAGCATGCCTTTGCCTTTGTGTTTGAGCTCTTTTACAGTAACTGTAAAAGATGCTCAGAGTGTGCTGACAATGTTCTATGATTCTTCAGCATTTTTCATACTTGCTGTTTTCTTTGGGAATGGCAATTTTGTTGGAAACTGGAGAGCCTGTCCTGTAGCACTGGCCAGTTTCATAAGCCTTTTGAGAGAGTGCTCTTTCTCCTTTTAACACAGGCTGTGTGAGTATACTAACTGGAAGAAACTTGGGGCTAGTTTATTGATCATTCTTTATAGGACACTAAGAGAAAATGCATTGGATAAAAGTAATTTTATAGTTAAACTTGGAACATGTGAGATTAAGCAGTGTTCTGAGAAATTTTCTTGTGGCATTGTAGGGGGATGAATGGATCTACAAATGTTTGAAGGATCTGGACACTCAGGATAAGTTTATATTTACAATAAATATATCATTGCACCTGTATTTATAGACTTCTAAGGAATTTTATACTCCTGTTTATTACACTTCCCTCAGAGTAATGATTGGACCTATTGCTTTAACTTTAAAGGTACATCTAGAAAGGGTTTAGAGATTGATGAACATTGAGTGTATAATTTGCTTAAAAATAACTTCATCCTACGCCGGGCGATAATAATAATAATAATAATAATAATAATAATAATAATAATAATAATAATAATAATAATAATAATAATAATAATAATAATAATAATAATAATAATAATAATAATAATAATAATAATAATAATAATAATAATAATAATAATAATAATAATAATAATAATAATAACAACAACAACAACAATAACGACGACAACAACTTCATCCTATACTTTGATTTTTCCAGGCTTGTATACAACATAAACTTCCAGTTTTTTTTTTTTCTTCTCATTAAAGAATCTTTTTTTTCTGTGTGTGTGTGTGTGACAGGGTCTCAATATTTAGCCCTGGCTTACTTGACATTTGCTAAGTAGATCAGGCTGGCTATAACTCACAGAGATCCGCCTGCCTCTGCCGCTCAAGTGTTGGGACTAAAGGTGTGTGCCACCACACTTGTCAAGTTTTATGTATCTTAAGAAGTAGTTGTTCTCACATGACTATAATTTAGACATTTTATATTTATTTAATACAAAAATCTTTATTGTTTCTAGATTTTGTATTATAATTATTGAAAATATGCTAACATTTATATTTCTTTAAAATGACATAATTACAAGTTCAAAGGAGAATAACTTTATCCTTATATAACTTCTTTTTCAGTTTTGTGCACAGTAAACACATGTTTATTATTTTTTGTCAAACTTAACATTATGAACATTTTTAAAAATTGAGCATATAAAACTCAAAATTGCAGTTTTTGATGGCTATAATATGTTATGCTTATTTACCTGATTCTTTGTTGTTGAATGTTTAGAATGTTTCTTTCTAAAGTCTGCTTCAGAGAATACTGCTAGTAACATTTCTACAGATGGATGGCAATTTATTTTGAATTTTATCTTTTGGACACATTTCAAAAGATATTACTGAATAAGAAGCAAAAATTGTTACTACTTATATACACTTTATATTTATTTACATAAGCATATTTAAATATGTATAAATATAAATAAATGTATTTATTACATATGTAGTATTTCATTTATTTATTTTCATAAATACTTGTGTAGTGGCAGAAAAGTGAAGAGTCACTTAGAGTCACACAGTTAGGTGGCTCCAGAGTTTGTTCTCTTTACAACCCTACCTGTGTTGATGGTCTTGTAAAGTGGCTCTTTCAAATGAGGATCACACCTGCTTTCAGTCAATTGTAGTGTAACTATCAGTATTGGGTCTTTTTTAAGCAATAAGTTTAATAGGTAAAAGTGATACATGTGCCGGGTGTTAGTGGTGCACACCTTTAATCCCAGTACTCGGGAGGCAGAGGCAGGCGGATCTCTGTGAATTCGAGGCCAGCCTGGTCTCCCGAGTGAGTGCCAGAATAGGCTCCAAATCGACACAGAGAAGCCCTGTCTCGAAAAAAACCAAAAAAAAAAAAAAAAAAAAAAGTGATACATACTGTCTTCCATAGAAGTGCTTGATAAGGATGGTTAACTTTAAGAATGAGTGGTATAAGTTAAAGTATGTTCATTAGAAAAGCTTTCCTGTATTATGGGCATGATACATGTTGACCCTATCTAAAAGAATGGAAATTGGCTAAGGCTATATAACATGGAGGTTTCTAGACTGAATTAATCTTCAGGGACTTAACGTGTTGTTCATTAACTTTAAAAAAATTGTAGAACTGCTTTTATTCAAACATTATAGTTTGAACAAAAGGTTTCTTTGTCAAGATACTTAAAAATCTTATAGTTGAAATCATAATGGTGCAGAGGGATTGAGATGTGAAAGTTTTCTTCCTCGTTATTCATTTCAGCTTATTGCATGTAAAAGCCACTGGATGTTCCAACTGCCATTCTTGTTCGCACTTGTAACTGCTATTAACAATTTGTTAAGAAGTATTTGTTGTGTAGAAGTCTAACTTTTAAACTTGTTTGTATTTCATTTTACTTTTTGGTGAAGCTGTGACTGCTTTGGAATTGTGAATATTCTTTTGAAGTATGGAGCCCAGTTAAATGAACTTCACTTGGCATACTGCCTGAAGTATGAGAAGTTTTCCATGTTTTGCTACTTTTTGAAGAAAGTTTGCTTGTCGGCTCCTTGGAATCATATATCTGAATTTATAACTTATGCTGTTAAAGCACAAAAAGAATATAAAAAGTGGTTGCCACATCTCCTGCTTGCTGGATTTGACCCATTGACTCTGCTGTGCAGCAGCTCTTGGTAAGAAATCTTTCTAGTGGGCCTTCCCCATTGGTAATGATATTGCCTCAAACATGCCATCAGTTCTTGAGATCTGAGTGCTACCATAGCTGTGTTGTGTGAGAGAACTGACCACTATAGCTATGCTGGGGTGAAAGGGTTGAGGCCTACAAACAAAGAAATTGATCTTAAAGTACAGAGGTCTATAAGAAGTTGCTGCAAATGTTTAGGAGAGGTATAGCTTTCAGGGTAGTTTCCTGGGAGACATTTCTTCTACTCTTGGCCATTTGTTGTGCCTCTCTTTTTATTATGGAGACAAAACTTAGTGTTGACCATGCAGTCCTCCTGTGTCACCTTCCTGAGTGTTGGGATTGCAGGTATTTACTACCCTGCTTAACTTTCTTATGCCTTTCTTAATTTGTCGGTGACAGAATGTTTCTGCCTTATAGCAGCTTGTCTTCTGAAGTTTGTCTCCCTTACTACATAATGTTTTTCAAAGTATCTAAAGCTATCTATATTTACTTAGTTGTGGTTGTTCCTCAGGTTAGCCATTTATAAGAGATTGTATGACTGTTAAATCAGGATTCTGTGGTGACAAGATTGTTTGTACCCACTTCCAGCAAAAGTTATTATCTGGGATAGATGCCTGTAGTATAGCATGTGAAAAAACCTCTTCATCTGATAAGTCAAATGAGAAAACAGAACCAAAGTCTCCATTTGAATAGAGAACATGTTATTTTGCAGAATTTTAGTGAAACATCCATTAGCCTCGAAAGAGTCAGTTTCAGGAGAAACATTTCCTATTTGTAAGTTGAGTTTGCATTTCTGTGGACTCTACTTTCTACCCATGACCTCTCTTTATGTGAAGAATGAGCCTTTATTTGATACTGTATCTCACTTTCTCATTACCACTACCTGGAATTTAGGAATTCTCATCAAACTGTCATCTCTCTCTGACACTCTCTTATTCCAGTTACATACTAATGAAGAGAGACTGCTCCCTGGTCAGTGTTTTGGGGAATAAAGTCAGTGCAAAGTGAGATAAACCTTCTGATCCCACTTTCCTAATAACAAGTTGAATCTCTGATTGTACTCTCAACAGATTACTAAAACATTCATAGTTGCCTGTCAAATGCCCTTAGTTGCCATTCTTTTTTATTCTTTATTAATTTGTGCAAAACTCTATGTTTAAGGTAATTGAGTGAAATATAAAGATTATGACAATTCATTGAGACATCTCTTATTTAAAAATTTGCATGTTTGTCAACAGCTCTCCCTCCCCAGAAAATACTTGTGAATGCCATTTATATCTACTAGTAATTAACAGTTATATAAATGCCACTGATGTGTTACTGAATTTCACGATCAGCTCTCCTCTGGGGCTTGCTAGCAGCAGATCTTCTTCACTATTCTAGGAGTCACCTTATAACTGTGATTCAAATCTGACAGAACACAGGGGTAGCTGTGAACAGCCCTAACAATCTGTTCCCCTTTATCCTGATCCCCAGGTGGTGCCTGTCTCCAGGACATCCACTTTTTCCTCGGTCACATTCTTAATGTTCTTCACCTGAAACCATTAACTGACTCCATCTGAATAGCCCAGTACTTTGAACCTTCATATCCTGGAGTTTCCAGGGTGTCCTGTGTGGGTCTCAAATCTTGCTTTAACTTTTTCATACACCCATAGGAATGAAATAGTTCTATTATTTAAGGTCAGAAACTTCCATCCATTGCCAAACATGGGAATTTATGACAAGTTTTCTTGTTCCTTCTTACTCTTAAATTAGGAAAACCTATGGAAGAAAAAGAAGTAAAGGTTTCGTGTTATCCTTTGCTCTCTAGGCAACTGGAGAGTATGGAATTTTGAGTATAGTCCCAAGGTTCCCCAAAATATGCTATTCTTTCCCCATTCAGTGGTCTCCTTATCCCACATATAAGTAGCTGAGAATTTTTGTGGCAATAAGTCCTTGCTGTGTACACTGTCTATTCAATTTGCTGAAATAGGAAAATGTTAAGAACCAAATAAACAATCTAATTATTCAGTTTAGCATTCTTAAATTGAGAATGCCAGTTCATATATTTCACTACTAAAGAATCACTTTATATTTACTAGGGAAATGGACAATGGAAACTTTAACTTTAGAAATGAAAATTCTTAACATAGCCAGATTTTGTTGACTAATCTTTCATTGAAAGGGTAAAGTCAGTTTTTATACTGAATATGATAAATGTTTTACCTTCTTTGATCAAGTTTATATTCAAAGAAATATTGTAGGAGAAAGTCTTCCATAAAGATTCAAATACATCAAAGCAGATTTTGGTTGTTTATTATTATCACATGTAAGTATATTGCTTGATTTAAGCCCTCTTAAAAATGTATCTGTCTGAATAATTAATTGCCGGTTGCAATATAATCTACAGAGTAGAAATATTTCCCAACATGAATGTTAGACTAAGTTCCTCCCTCCCTGCTTGCCTGCATATTTTAATGGGAGAATAGTAGTGAACGCCATTCTATTGATGGACTGTCACTGACTTATGATCCCACAACTGCTCTGTAGAGTGTAATGGCCATTGTAGGCAATAAAAATGCAATCTCAGGGGTATTATCAGTATTGTGAAATAAACTCACCATTGTATTAACAAAAGCTGTTCACAGATTTAATTCTTGTGTTCAAATAACTATAAAAATGACTTTGTGTTCTGTCATAGTGGGACCTAAAGCATATTAAGGTAGAAAAATTAAACCTTTAAAATAGATACAAGGAACCAGATTCAAGTAAACTTTTAGTTCTCACACACCAAGGAGTATATTTTGTCATTTTATTTTCTTTTTTTAAAAAAAAACTTTTTATTTATTTATGTATTTTTTTTTAAGTATCAGTGTTCTGTCTGCATGTATGCCTACATGCCAGAAAAGGGTATCAGATCTCATTACAGATAGTTGTGAGCCACCATGTGTTTGCTGGGAATTGAACTCAGGACCTCTGGATGAGCAGCCAGTGCTCTTAACCTCTGAGCCATCTCTCCAGCCCCCATTTTATTTATTTTCTGATAAGCCTTCATTTTACTGAGAACTAATTTTTTTTTCTTTTGGCAACTGTGCTGTTTTTAGTTTTTCCTTATATGTTTGCATATCAAAGAATTGAGAATTTGGGGGGGTGAGGTGACTCAGCCCATGCCTATATGCCTCATGATAAAAGGGAGCCACCTCCCCCAAGTTATCATACACAGGCGCACATGATTTTTTTTTTAATTGAAAAGCAATTTCTACACTCTAATCAGTATATTTCAAGTATACTTTCAAATACAGAAAACAATTTTTTGAGACAAGTTTAGAGTATCATTTAGTTTCTTTACCGTGTGTGTGTGTGTGTGTGTGTGTGTGTGTGTGTGTGTGTGTGTGTGTGTGTGTGTGTGTGTGGGGGGGTGCATGTTAATTAGCGTGCATGTGTTTGTGGGGGTCAGGGAACAACCAGGATTCCCTCTGCCCTCCCCTTCTTTTTCTCAATATGCTTCCTAAAGAACCCACAACTGAACTTTACTTCTTGGCTTCTGTTTTTTTCCTTTCTTCAGTTGCTCCCTAGTGGATGCCTGAAGAAATTGTACTTGAAGAGATTTTTTTTTTTTTTTGTAGGAATTGAATGAAAAAAAGAAATAAAAAGAGGACATGACTTCTCCTAAGGAGTTGAGGTTTTTATTACAGATAGAAGAGAGAGCAGAGGCTGAGGCAGAGTCACCTGGGAGAGTCCAGAATGGACATGACCAGCTGACTGAACTGAGTCATGTAAGGGTGGGGAAGGAGGAGAGAGAGGGAGGAAGAGAGGGGAACTAGGAGCTAAGAGGCCAGTGTAGCAAAAAATGGCTGCATTATATAGGGAAGAGAAGCTAGGGGAAGAGGCCCAGCATACTCAGTTGGCTGCAGAGTTTAGGGTAGGTGGAGGGGTATACCAGCCAGGATGTCTCATTAACAGGTTCTGGCAATGCTGAGAGAGGCTAACCAACAGAGTCTGCTTTGATGTGCTAAATAGGCACCTTGGTTAACTATTTGTCTGGTTTGAGAACTGTAATACAGTAGACCTGTTTTTCTTCAAAGGATGTGAGGCTGTCTAGTTGAGCTTAGACAGTAATTTTGTTAGGGTTTTTAATTTTCTTAAAGTTTTGAGTGTAAGTGATGTGAGATCTCCTAGAAGATTCAATACTGAAGTTTTCATATTCTATTAATATTCAGTATTTAATATATTGTAGGCTTTTTGTTTTTTGAGACAGTTTCACTCTGTAGCTTTGGAACTTGTCACTCTGTAGACCAGGATGTCCTGGAACCCACTGAGATCTGCCAGCCTCTGTCTCTCAAGGGCTGGGATTAAAGGTGTACACCACCAACACCTGGCCTATATTGTAGACTTTTAAATTGTGTTTATTATATTCTTGAATATTATTTCTATAAAGTCTGCAGAAATAGTTATGTGTTATGTAAAGAATTTAGACCTTTAAGTAGTGAAAGTGTTTTAGAAATCGGGACTTACTTTAAACTATTGTTCTATTTATTAGTTTTCAAGAATTTCTAACACTTAGGAAAGGCTCTACTGGGCAGATTGGTGGAGAATCCTGAGTTTTGAAAGAAGAGAGGAAGAACTATTAGTATGGAACTCATGTTTCCATTCTTAAAGCTGAATGTTATGGTGGATCACCCTTTAGGGCTGAATCTATAAAGAGGAAAGTTCTTAGAACAGCTGCACAAATCCTTGGGAATGATATGGAGGTGGGGCTGGAGTGTTGGAGAGTCGTCTCTCTTGTATACTCAGCTTATTGGTGAATGCAGGTATTTAAGCTTTATCCTTTCTGTGTCATTCTTTGTCTATAGGGATGGCCAGACTAAATTTGCAAGAGAGCTTAGTTGGGAAGAAATAATGGCAAGTTCACCCAAGACATTGGTGCTTCCAATTTGAAAGAAGGAGCCTGCTCTTCATGAGAGTAGGCATTCCTTGTGAGGCCTTAGAGAGCTGCACACAGAGTTTAGTTTATTTCTAGGAGTATCTTATATTATTATTGTTGGCCTAACTTGCCATAGTTTTATGGATACTTTCCATGGTTTTGTTTTAGTTAATTTTCATCAAGTTCTTGTAAAAATAGGAGTGTGATATTTGCTTCTAGTACTAGCCCTAGATATGTTAATATTTTGCTTTTGATGGCCTGTTAACATGTTGTTAATACAGGGTTGACTCAGTCAGTGATGACATCCTTATATTTACTTTGGAATTTTCTAATTGGAAGAGACTTCCACCAGCTGTTGAAAAGATTATCTCTGCTCGTGCAAACTCTTCTTGGGCTCTTCCGCAGCATATGGGTAAGACAGTACAGATTCAAACGCACTTCCCTTTTCCTTCTCGTGGTTCTCCTGCTATGTTGAAATGTTTTGTGGATTTGCTAGCAAACATATAGTAAATTAGGCATATATTTATTTCCTTACATGTGGAAGGATAGGGAAAAGATAGTAATTTTCTCTGAGAATTGTGTCTGTTCATAAGTTTAGCCTACAGATCTTATAGAGAGCAGATAGTTGTTTTTATTCAGTGATATCCTTTTGCTGTTATAAGGATATATAAGCAAAAAATATTTAGTTTGTGTTCATAAGAATGCTGAACTTAATTTTTCTTTACAAATTTTTGTAGGCTTGTGTTCTCACTATAACATGTTATCAACTCTAAAAGGGAATATTAACATCTTTTATTTGCACCTGTCTCTAGTGATAGTTTATCAACCTGTTGGTATACCCTGTGAGCTGGTGAAAATTTTGTGAACTGGTTGTTTTGTTGTTGCTTTTTTTTTTTTTTTTTGAGAGAGTCTTTCTCTGTAGCCCAGGCTGGCCTAAAACTCTTGGTCTTCCTGCCTCAACTTTTTTATGTGCTAAGAATACAAGTGTATGTTACTAGTCCTGGTGATTGATGTTTAACTGACTATTCTAAAACAAATTTTTAAAAACTTACTGTACTTATTATAGTTTTTTTCATATTTCTTAATTTAAATAAAAAACAATCTTACTTTACATACCAATCCCAGTTCCTTCTCTCTCCCATCCTCCCATACCCTCAACTAGCCCCCCATCCACTCCCCAGGCCTCACCATCCCATGAGGGATCTTAAAAGTCTGTCACATCATTTGGGGCAGGGCCTAGGCCCTCCCCTGTGTATCTAGGCTGAGAGACTATCCCTCCTTTGGAAATGGGCTCCCAAAGTCCATGCACTAAGAATAAATAACTGGTTCCACTGTCAGAGGTCCCATAAACTGCCCAGGCCTCCTAACTGATACCCACATTCCGGGGGCCTGGTTCTTTCCTCTGCTAGTTCCCCAGCTGTCTGACTGGGGTCCATGCAATCCCACTTGCTCAGGTCAGCTATTTCTGTGGGTTTCCCTAGCATCGTCTTGACCCCTTTGCTCATCACTGCTCCTGCTCTACAACTGGATTCCAGGAGTTGGGCTCAATAGTTAGCTGTGGATCTCTGCTTCTGCTTCCATCAGCTACTAGGTGAAGACTCTAGGATGGCATTTAAGGTAGTCCTCAATGTCAATAAAGGGGAAGGGCATTTAAGGTAGCATCTCCACTATTGCTTAGATTCTTAGTTGGGGTCATCCTTGTAGATCCCTGGACATTTTCCTAGTGCCAGATTTCTCTTTAAACTTATAATGGCTCCCTCTTTTAAGGTGTCTCTTTTCTTGCTCTCCTTCTCTGTTCTTCTCTCAACTTGATCTTCCTAATCCTCCTCCCCACTAACCTTTCTCCTCCCTCCTCCCCCACCATGCTCCCAATTTGCTCAGGAGATCTTGTCCCTTTCCCCTTCTCATGTTCTTAGGGTTGTCCTTGTTTCCTGGCATCTCTGGGGTTGTGGATTGTAGGCTTCTTATCCTTTGCTTTATGTCTAATATCCACTTATGAGTGAGTGGTACCATATACCATGTTTTTCTTTCTTGGTCTGGGTTACCTCACTCAGTATAGTTTCTTCTAGTTCTATCCATTTGCTTGTGAATTTCAAGATTTCATTGTTTTTTCCCATTGAGTAGTACTCCATTGTGTAGATGTACCATATTTTCCTTATCCATTCTTGGGTTGAGGTGCATCTAGGTTGCTTCCAGGTTCTGACTATTACAAATAATGCTGCTGTGAACATAAGTTGAACAGATGTCCTTGTTGTATGAATGTGCATCTTGTGGGTAAATGCCTAAGAGTGGAATTGCTGGATCTTGAGGTGGACTGATTCCCATTTTCTTGAGGAGTCGCCATACTGATTTCCAAAGAGGTTGATGTTTTGATACAGAGTTTCTCACTGAATCTGGAGGTAGATTGTTAGCCAGCAAACCTCACTGATAACCCCATCTGTGGCTTTTACATGGCTTATGAAGTCCAAACTCAGGTTCTTATTCTTTTGTTCATGAACGTCCACTGTCAGGTAACATTTTGTTCATTTCTTTCTCCAGCCTGTGTTCCATGCCTGGCCCATCTCTGTCGTTTGGAAATTCGGACCAGTTTAAAAGCAGAACGTCTTCGTTCTGACAATTTCATTCGTCAGTTGCCACTTCCCAGAAGTCTGCAGAGCTATTTGCTCTATGATGAGGTTTTGAAGATGAATGAAATTCCAGAACCAGCAGCTATTCATGATGGAGAAATTAGTGAGGCCACCTGACAGCTCATTTTTCAATGCTGTTTAGTCACAAAAGATGGGAATGTTTACAGCTGGGCCTCCCAGTTCCCCTCCTCCCCAATACTGTGAACTTCACTCATCCTGCCTCACTTAGTTTCATCTCCAATGGACTTTGTTGTGTAGTATTTGTTTACCTAACCATTTTCTGCTGCTAAGCAGTGATGCTGCTATGGTGCTGGATGTGACATCGTTCCATTTGAGAGTCATGTTCACCTGTGCTTGAAGCTAAGGAAGCCATAAACTTCCTAGGAAGAATATATTAACAACTGTGTTTTGAATCACTTACCATTGTTATTATTTCACTTAGGTCTTCATATCCCATATGTTTATAAAAATAAATTTTTCAATGTTGGCATAATCTGTTCTCATTTGTTTTTTGGTTTCTTGAGACAGGGTTTCTCTTTGTGGCTTTGGAGCCTGTCCTGGCACTCACTTTGTAGACCAGGCTGGTCTCGAACATACAGACATCCGCCTGCCTCTGCCTCCTGAGTGCTTGGATTAAAGGCATGCGCCACCACTGCCTGGCTATGTTCTCATTTCTTAATTCAGATATATTTATGAGATGTTGATATTCTTACATTTTAACATGTAAACTCAGGAGAAAGTTTTTTTTTAAGAACATAAATTTCAGTCATATTGATGGTTCTTAGATCTTTTCTTCATACTTTTTGGCAAAATACACCCCATTTTTAGTTTGCAAAGACAAGAACACACCTGAATTCATAGAATAACACTCAGTATAAAAAATCCTATCATTTTTAGAAGTGTTATACTGCACTCAGAATATTAATAAGGAGACCTCAAGGGAGCATTGGTATAGTACCACCTTTAGAGAAAGAAACAAGCACATTTCAGTTATTTGGTGCTAAATAGAACAATCAGGCTTCATTCAACTCCAAAATAAAAGGGCAGCTTTGTTCCTATGAATCAGTAATAGCCAATAATATTCTATTAATACAATAGTTTTCCTTCTTAATATCTGGATGTATTTTTACATGAATGATGAAATAAAGACCTTAGAATCCCACATTGTGAGTTTTTACAATTGCTTTATGTAAACCTTGAGTCAAGAAAAATCAAGCATCTTCAAAACAGTTGTCTGAAAGACTGAAAACTAGCCTTGAGAGGAAGGTACTAGAGTGTTGCTGTCATAATAGTCAGCACAAGGTGGTTTCTACAATGCAGAACTTCATCTCTTGCCAGCAACCTCTGGTTGGGTCTATCATCTGGGCTCATCTCTGATAGGCTCTTAAAAGAAGCATGATATAGGTCGACTTCATTAGAATGGACTGGGAAGACTTAACTCGTTCCTCATATTTCAAGTCTTGTTTGATGTTGGTATAAAGTTAGATATTGAAAATCAGGCAGAAATTCTGATAGTTTAATTTAACAAAGACACTCCAAAATTATGCGTACCAAAACTCTGTTTCAGGTTTTGTTTTTGGGTCATTCTATAGACCCAAAACATTCATAGAATGTTTTAAAAGAGTGTATCTCTTAATGTATTTTGTTCATGTTCAAATGTTATATTACAAAAGCCCAATTTTCCTTAAGTTATCATTAAAGCCCTAAAAGTCAACACAGATGCCCCCGGCTGATGAAGTTTTGACTTTAGAGCAGTAAAAAAATAACAAGCATCTCATAGAAACTGCACTTTGAAGTTGACTTATTCCTAGGCTATCGATACACAGTGTGAGAGTCTGTTGGAGTCTGATGGTTCTGAGCAATGCCAGTGATCTATAACTCCTAGACAGTCAAACATGCAGACTTATCTTGTCAAGGGATGTGTATACCTGTTTTCCCACCCAGAATACTGGGACTGGATGTTAATAAACTGGTGACCTTTGCTACCTGTAGGGTGAGGCCTTACCCAAATCCCACAGTGTTTGTTCCAGGCTCTCCCTCTTTAGACCTTTAGCTTTAGCTTTGTTTCTCAATAGAACCCATCCTTGGGGGAGAAGTCGCATGTATTTTATAGGCTGGTGACCTCTACACTATCTTGGTCAGAGACCACACCAGATTTTTTTTAAGACTCAAAACCAAACCCCCAGCAACATACCTCCTCCGAGGCCATACCTCCTCATCCTTCCCAAACAGTTCCACCAAGTGGGGAGTAAGTATTCAGACATAAGCTTATGGGGGCCATTCTCATTTTGATTACCATAGTGGGATGAACAGGTGGCTCAAGGGTTAAGAGTACTTCCTGCTCTTCCAGAAGACCAGAGTTTAATTCCCAATACTCCCATACAGTGTGGATTACAGCTCTTAACTCCAGCTCCAGGAATTCAGTGTTGTCTTCTGGCCTCTGAAGGCATCTACACACATGGCATATGTTCACACAGACTCACACACTCAATAAATAATAAATCTTTGGGAAGGGGGAAGAAGCTTTTGGTTCTTATTGATTTGTTTCTGTTTTTGAGACAGGATCTTGGTCTGAAGCCCAGATTTCGAGAACTCGTTAGGTAGCCTGACTCTTGTCTTAACCTCACCATTGTTGGGATTATAGCTAAGAATCACCACACCTAGCTAAGCCCTTGGTTTTGAAATTGATTAGTGATTATTATGGTTTAGGACTAGAGTGGCCTTAGAAGGCCCACATATTAAAGGTTTGCTCTCAAGTCTGTGGTGCTTTTGGAAAGTTTTAGGAGATGGTTAGACCATTTGAGGAGCTATTGCAACTCCTGTCTTCTGTTCCTGATATGTATTTCAAGTGGTCATCTTTGCTCTACTTAACATCATAGGCCCAAAGCAGCAGACCAACCATGAACTGACAATCTCCCAAACCAAAATAAAACTTTTCTCCCTTTCAGTTGGACATCTTAGGTGTTCTTGTCAGTTGTGGGAAACTGACTGATGTGGTAACTTTTTAACTTTATTGTATGCAACGTTTCTTTTAGACATTTGGTAAATATTTTACTATTACTATGGTCCTGTCTTTACTTAGTATATACTTAATAGTTTATGATAGCTTCCTTACATTAATATCATCCAACTTACCTTAAACATTCATTCACCAGACTAAAATCAGTTTTCCTGGTCTACATTTGTTGGCCATGATTGCAGATTTCATAAGGACATTCATATGAGCATAGCATGTATTCTCAGCACAAACTCTTATACCCTAGCCCTCTCATGTTCCTCCTGTTAGTTCACCCCTCACCAGCTTTGCTCCTACATCATGTCATGTACACAAACATGATTTAATGTGTCTATATAAAAGCTAGGATCTATAAATAAAGGAGAACATGATATTTATCTTTCTGAGACTGACTTGATTTCTTCAGCTTTTATGAACAAAGACTCTGCTGGTCTCAGTTCACAGAGTATCCAGCCTTTTGTCCTGCTGTCACAGTTCTTTGTTTGCTCCAGCTGAGAGGGTAGAAATCCTTGTCTGACAATTCCCCTTGACCTCAGTGCAGTCAAGCTGAGAATTTTTGTTTCAGGGTCTTCAACCCCAGCCTGCACAGCCATGGTTCACTGCCAATGTGTCGTGTGTGTGTGTGTGTGTGTGTGTGTACGTGTGTGGAGAGAGAGAGAGACAGAGCTCCCAGTGCTTCCCATGGTTCTCTGCCTCTGTGACCTGTGTGTGGGTGTGGGTGTGTGTGTGTGGGTGCATGTGTGGGAAGAGAGATAGAGACAGAGCTCCCAGTGCTTCCCATGGTTCACTGCCAATGTGTCGTGTGTGTGTGTGTGTGTGTGTGTGTGTGTGTGTGTGTGTGTGTGTGTGCATGTGTGTGAAGAGAGATAGAGACAGAGCTCCCAGTGCTTCCCATGGTTCACTGCCAATGTGTCGTGTGTGTGTGTGTGTGTGTGTGTGTGTGTGTGTGTGTGTGTGTGTGTGCGTGTGTGTGAAGAGAGAGAGAGAGAGGGCTCCCAGTGTCCAGATAGAGACAGAGCTCCCAGTGCTTCCCATTGACCTCAGCTGGAGCCAGGTGGCACTGGTTTATGATCACTCTTCCCTGCTTTCCCTGCTTCTTACTCAGAGACCTCATGTGGCTTAACAAATTCATTTTCAGCCATTATCTCCTGCAAGAATAAAATGTATTGTTTATTATTCTGTCTTTCTCTGAGTTGTAGTGATGGAGCCTCTCAGCTGCCATCTTCCCCTAAAGTTTCTAGAATCACATTTTTATAAAGAAACGTTCATTGAGGAATACAGTATTATATGGACTATAATACATATCAAGCACACACACGTGTAGGGTTGTCAATGTCTTCAACTTTGTTAATTAAACATGTGTTTCATTTCCTATGTGTTGAATTTCTCATGTATTTCTCAATGACATTGACTTGCAAATTTGTCTTATGTAAGATTCATACACAGTATTTTCTGAATAACAGTTTTCTACATTACTGTAAATCATATGATTTGTGAAAAGATAGCTTACTTTTTCTTCCCAATTTAATTTTTTTTTTGTTTTTTTGTTTTTTTTTTGTTTTTTTTGCTATTTACATGTATCTCATCAAGGATGCACAGTCAATCTGCTGTATTTTAAATTTTCTTGATGTACACAATCATATTTCATTTCCATTTTTACTTTTAGTTATTTAAAATTTTTGTTATACTTCACATATCATTTGAAAGTCAAATAGCTAGCTCAGTGTTTAAGAGCACTTGCTCTTGCAAAAGACCCAAGTTCAATTCTCATCAACTACATGGTGACTCATGACCATCTGTAACTCTCATCCTAGGGAATCTAATGCCCTTTTCCAGTCATGCACATTGGGTACAGACATACATGCAGGTGAAACATTCGTACACAAAGTAATAAGTTGAAATAAAAAAATACATTTATTTCTATGGAAACCATGCTTGTTGTGTCCTCTTGAACTTATTGCTTTCCTTTTATGAAGGGAGCCAGTTTATAGATTTAAAAAATATTTTAAGTGTAAGCATATATTTTTCAAACTCTTTCTTTGGTTAGTGAAATAGTGTACACAATTTTCCCCATTTTTTTTCCTTAAATAGTAATTCATAGGGATAGCCCTCATTTATTTATTTATTTATTTATTTATTTATTTATTTATTTATTTGGTTTTTTGAGGTACGGTTTCCTCTGTAACTTTGGATCCTGGCCTGGAACTTGCTCTGTAGGACAGAGCTGACCTAGAACTTACAGAGATCTGCCTGCCTCGGCCTCCCAAGTACTGGGATTAAAGGTGTGCACCACCATTGTGTGGCTGCCCTTTTATTTTTATAGTGATAAGGTACACTGTCATACAAAATTACTGCATCTTCAACATTCTCCTGATGACAAGCTGAGACATCTCTAGGCTTTTGTGATTATCAATTTGCTTCAGTGAATAGTTTTGCACTTTTTTTTTTTCCAGTTTAGCTTTGGGAGATTCTTGGGG